CTGCGTGCCGCAGGAGACCGAGCCCGAGGGGGCTGGCGGATCGACTGGCTCGCTCATCCTGTCCTAGCTTGCAGTCTGCGTCCCCCCCTCCTTGCTGCACTGTCCGCCCCCTTTTTTCTCGTCTTGACTTTAGCGTGGGTATCGACATCTTTGCACCCTTATCGACCGACCGACCCGACCGAGGAGGAGTAGGAGGAGGAGGAGGAGCCCTGGTGCCCCACTAGAACGGCGATTACCCTGGCGCGCCGGCAGGGTGGCGCAAGCGGCTCCGCCAGACCACTTTCTACCACAAGCAGGGAGGGTGTGCGCGCAGGTCGTTCGGGTGCTGCCAGAAGTGTCCGTGGCCAAGGGTGCCCCAGGATTTCCAGGGAGACCTTGGCGGACTCCACACACAAGCACACACACACACGCACACACACATACAAACACACACACACGCACACACACACACACACACACACGCACACACAAAACACACCACACACACAAAACACACAACACACACAACACACACACAACACACACACACAACACACACAGCATACACGGCACACAACACCCTACACACAACACACAACACACACACAACACGCACAACACACAACACACACAACACACACAACACACACGCAGCCAACAGCACACAACACACAACACACGCATCACACACAACACACACAACACACACAGACACAACACACACAGCACACAGTACACAACACACGCACAACACACACAACACACAACACACACACACACACACACGCTCGCGCGCACGCACACGCACACGCACACGCACACGCACACGCATGCGCACGCGCACACGCACACGCACGCGCACACACACGCATACGCACACGCACACGCACGCGCACGCGCACACACACACACACACGCACACACACACACGCACACGCACACGCACACGCACACACAAACGCACACACACACACACCTTCACACATTCATACATTCACGCATTCACACATCCACGCATGTTCACATTCATACATTCACGCATTACCCAGTCACACATTCACAAGTGCACACATTCAGACATTCAAACATTCACGCAACACACACACACACGCACACACACACACGCACACGCACACGCATACGCACATGCAAACGAAAACGAACACCCACGCACATACACACGCACACACACAGACACACACAGACACACACACACAGACACACGCACAGACACACACACACCACACACCACACACCACACACCACACACCACACACCACACACCACACAACACACAACACACAACACACAGCACGCAATACACAACACAGCACAACCAGCACACAACACACAACACACAGCACACAGCCAACAGCACACAACACACAACGCAAACCACACAGCACACAAGACACAACACACAATACACACAACACACAGCATACAACACACGAACCACAACCCACAACCCACAGCCCACAGCCCACAACACACAACACACAACACACATTCATACACTCACGCATTCACACATTCACACACTCACGCATTCACACATTCACACATTCACACACTCACACATTCACACAATCACACACACATCGACACCGTGAGATTTCTCCATGACGTGGACGCCTAGGGATCTCCACCGAAGGACCCAGTTGCAGAGTGAGCATGGGGTCCCACCCTCCATTTTGGTGCACTCCGCAAACGTTCCGTGGCCCCATCAGGAGCTCCACCGAAGGCCCCAGTGGCAGCATCAACATGCGGTTCCACCCCCCCCCAATCCAGCGCACCCCACATGTTTCGTGGTCCCACAGGGAGCTTCACTGATGGTCCCAGCGGCACACCTCGCATGCGGTTCCACCCCCAGTTCGGCGCATCCCTCACACGGCTCGTGGCCCCCAAAGATAGATTCACCTAAGGCCCCAATGTGTGCATCCACATGCGGCACCCCGCCCGACTCGGCACACCCCTCACACGTGTCGTGGCCCCATGGGGAAATCCCCCTCCTTCGTCCCACTTGCCTTGTGGCACTCGCACCTGCTATTGGGCCCTTCACCAAGATGGTTCAATGCAGAGCCCCCGGAACTCTGGATCACTTTCCGGGGACTGTACCCAGATCGCTGGTTGAAGGTCCCAGGGCCCAGCGACGGACCCCAGAGCCTTTGAAATCGACAACAAACCTCGGTCTGGATGTGTCCATAGTTGTGTTTGGCCAGAAGAGGTTTATGAACACGCTTAAACATACAAGAGAAGCGTTGCACCAAAGGGACGGGGAACCCTAGATCGCCCTGCCAAGCCGGCAGCTGTTTCGCCTAGACGTCCCTACACGGTATGATGGAATCGTGCTCTCGCGTTCATGTCGGCTACATTCCTGGCCTGGACGGCCGCATCCCCTGGTGATAATACACTGAGATGCACACGACCGTGCTCTCATCTGTGCACATGGTCTCTTCACCGTTGCTGCTATCAGGCTGCTTTGCTGAAGCAGCTGAAGCATCCAAGTGGCTCAAGCATCCAAGCGGTTCAAGAAACAACAATTCACTTATTGCACTTGATCTTCTCGTACCCCTGCCTCTCACGACTTATACGTCGCACGCTCGTGTGTGCGAACGCGGGAAAACCGCGGTGTGTTTAGTTCCTGCGTTCGCGAGCGCGCCACGATGTCCGGCAATCGCTCCCCACTGAAACTCGAGGAGGAGCTGGAGGCTGTGCTGTCCCAGAACCCTCCACAGGGGCAACGGACCACCTGGGGGTCTGGCACTTCAACTTGCGACCTGCTGACGGGCAACACGTGGGAGAGGATGCATTGGGGGACAAAGGCGCGTCTCGGTCATGGCCCAGTTCCACCTTTCGCACCTTTGCTAGGACAAGAGGGAGAGGAAGAAGAGGAGGGAGATGGTTACGTACAGATCCCAGCGGGTGGAGAAAAGACGACCGAAAGTAGCAGCACTCCTTTCCGGCACCCTGACTTTGATGCTGCCGCCGCGTCCGGGTCAGGAGCCGAGCCAGTTGCCATGCTAGGGATCGTGGCTCTCCTGAGGGAACACGTGGCAGAAAAACTGCCCCCTATGCCTTCGATTGTGGAGCGCCTCCCGCAGGATTTCGAGAAAGGCCTCGAAGCGGTCCGCGTGGAGAAGTTGGAGCACGTGTGTGAGGAGCAGTCGAAGAATGCGCCCCCCTCGGCTTGAGACATCGACACCACGATCAAGGAATGCATCTCGGACTTCATGAGGCAAGGGCCCACCCAGGGGTCCGTGCACGCAAGCACGCAGCAACAGACAGGTACAGTCAGGTACGGACAAGCGCATGATCACGGCGGTGGTCGGGAATTTGGATGGGATCCCGAACCTCCCCAGGCGAGGAAATGGCTGGATGAGAAACTGATCTCCTGGGGCGCCTCCCCCCCAGACGGTTTACGGGAAGGGAGCCATGCCGGCATCGTCTTCGCGGAATTCGGCACCCCCTCGGATAGAGATCGGGCGGTAGAGCTTCTCTGGGGAGCCAGGCTCAGAAGTGGATACAAGCAGATCTGGGCGAGTCAGGACCGCCCTGCCCCGAAGAGAGCAGCACGAAGGCATTTTCTTTGGCCTCAAGCGCCTCCCGAAGACAAAATGGGCGGCACCCTACACGATGTCGATCACAGACGGGGCGCCGTTCGTGGTCACAGTGGGCGGCGAGCACGCACTGCCGGCGAAGGTCCTGACTGACAAGGGCCAGTACGAGTGGCGGGGGGAGTGGGCCACGTGGGCTGCACTCCAGGAGCATCCGAAGATCAATGGCCTCGCCAAAAGGAACCACGATATCGCCTCCCACGCGATGGCCGGTACGAAGGGGCAAGCGAAGGGTGGCTCCAAGGGGAAGCCACACCGTTAGGAAAGACAACACACGTCGCCGCGCCGTTTGTTCTCGACGCGCCCCGGTGGACGGTGCCGGCACCGTGGCAGGTCCACGTCAAGCCCTGCGCCCCGCGCCCAAGGAAACGAAGTCGGCACCGCGGCAAAGCCACGGCAAACTCTGTGTCCGAGGCGGGGCTTGGCCTGGTGGCCGAGGCACCCTCTCCGAGACGTATGGCCCCGCGCCGGAACAAACGGCGCGGCGACACATGGGCATAAATTTCACCCGGAGTCGGCAGGCATTACAGCATGTATGAACTCACATCGGTTGACTCCACACTGCATGGGCTCTGGCGCGGCGCCTGCTGACGGCGGCACCGCGGACGCAGACGGGGCGAACGTCAACGTTCATCACGACGCGGATCTATTCCAAGGAGGATGGCTACACGCAAGAGTGACCCCAGGCAAGAACGACCTTTGGTGCGCGACTTTCGGGGGGCGCGGGGAGGCCAAATCCGAGCGCGCAAAGCACTGCTATCGCATCGCAATCAGCCATCTGGGGACCCTGGTCTGCCCGCACCAAAGGTCACTCTGGTGAAAGGTCATTCTTACGTGTAGCCGAAAGGCAGGCGGCTATCGGTTTCAAGCGCTGGTCTGCAACTTGGGACGTGGAACGTCGAGGGTGTCACTGAGGTGAGGCTTGTTGAGCTTCAAGGGCACAGGACAAATCATGTGGAATGGATATACTCTGCTCAAGAAGCACACAACAATACATCATAATGCACAGTCACCGAGGAGGGCATCCTGCTGATATGTTCGGGGACGTCTGGCGACGATGCAGTCACCAAGTATCGCGACTCCACGTGATAGTGGCTATGTGCTCATGTGCGTTTCGTACTCTGCATGTTGCTTGCTTGCTTGCTTGCTGTTGAAGTGATCTCAATACTTTGCATGCCTGCGCTTGGGCCAGGGACACCATCCCAGACATATGACGTCCTGATTTGTTCGATACGGCGTCCCTGGAAATCCCGACCCTTTCCCTGGGACCGGTTCTTCATCCCGAGTCTTTTTTGACGGTCCCGAGGCCCAGCGAAGGCTCCGAGGGGCCGAAAACGGCCAAAAACCTTCCGTCCTGATGTTTAACGACGCGATCATGGCTGGCATCAAGAGCCCCCGAGACACCCTCAGCGCGCTTGCCCGTCCGGCAGCGCCTCGCCACCCACCGCGAGGCCGCGCCGCCGCGCCCCGCCCGCCGCCCCCGCCCCCGGGGCGGCGGGGCGGCGTGCGAGGAGCCGGCCAGGCCATCGCATGGGCCTCCACGCCCGCCGACTGGTGAGCGGGAGCGAGAACCTTAGGTCGGGCACGTCTCCCTACCGGTGGACTTTTGGGGGAAAATCAAAAAATTGTCCAAGCAAACTCAATAATAGTCAAAAAGAATAGGAACATCGTCCCCAGACTATATTTTTTATGTTATGTTTGAATATTCCTCCTGTAGAGGGACATGCCCAGCATAACGATAGCCCCAGACTCCCTACGACAGGTGTTGTTCAATCCGGGCGTGTTGCCCCGATCTCGGCATTTCTGACACCAGGCCCTGGGGCCATCACAGGTCAACATTCGGCCAGAAAACTTGCGCAGGAAGGCCGTGATGTTTCGCGATGATGCAGATTTCCGGCAACGTCGGATCCCAGGTCTGGGGTCCGTTTCTGCGCCGTCGAAAAAGGATCCAGGACGAACATCTGCCCCACAGAAAGGGTCGGGACCACCTTGGGGGAACGATCTAACAGGCCCCCTCGCGTTTTTGTATGTTTTTGTTCGGATCCAGGACGAACATCTGCCCCACAGAAGGGGTCGGGACCACCTTGGGGGAACGATCTAACAGGCCCGCTCGCGTTTTTGTATGTTTTTTGTTCCTGGAGGTTTTCGGGCGTGTTCGTGAGTTCCCATATTTTTCCAGAATGGGGATGTGTTCTTGCAACTGCGCCTCACCGAGGGCCTCCCCAGGGTGCGTGGATCGACCCGAACGGCCGCCAGAGGCCTGAGCTATGACCCGATCCCCTCGCGTCGTGAAAAATCACGACGGGAGGTTTGGGGCAATTCTTGGCCTCCAGGCTGCCTTGCCTTACGGGGCCTCGGGAACGTCGGAAAACAACTCAGGATGAAAAACCAGTCCCAGGGAAGGGGTCCAGACCTCCCTGGGGGTCCACGTCATGAACGAATCACGACGTCGAGGGTCTGTGTAGGGGGGACTGGCTCAACGGGGGGAGGGCATTGAGACTTGCAATCGGCGGTGCGTCGCCGATACATCACCGATGTCCCCCCCAGTGCCGAAGCCGCGCGTTCCTGCGGAGGGAGAAGGGGCACCCGGGCGCCGATCGGAGATGACAGGGCGATTGGGGGTCCATGCTTCTCGATGATCCCCAGGAGGTGTGTTCGAGCCATCGTGCGCCATCCACCGAGGCCTCACAATACGACGCAGGCGGTGCAGCGAGGGCCGACACAGGCTGCGCGTTGTCCCCTGAGATCCGACGTCGCAAAAAAAAAACATCGCGAGACATCGCGACTGGAGCCTCGGACCCATCTCTCTGCTGCATTTGTTTCGAGTCGGATCGATCTGTGACGGCCCCTGGGCCCCAAACTTATGCGAAAAAGCCCGGCTCGAGAAAAATGCGGCGCCCGTACCTCAGGGCCCACGGGGTGGACACACCTTGGGCCAGCACGCGTCCCGAGGATCCTCGACGCCCCCCCAGCGGAGCCAGTCCCCCCCCCCTGTCGCTGCCCCCCTGGGCGGTGGGCGCAGCGCCGCCCCGGCGGCTGAGGAAATCGGCGAGGGGGGGGGGGGGGGGGGCGGCCAGGCTCCGGGTTGGGAGGGGAGGAGGAGGAAGAGGAGGAGGAGGAGGAGGAGGAGGAGGAGGAGGAGGAGAGGAGAGGGAGGAGGAGGAGGAGGAGGAGGAGGAGGAGGAGGAGGAGAAGAAGCGGGAGGAGGAGGAGGAGGAGGAGGAGGAGGAGAAGGAGGAGGAGGAGGAGGAGGAATGAGGAGGAATGAGGACGACAAGGTAGGAGGGAGACGAGGAGGAGGAGGAGGAGGAGGAGGAGGAGGAGGAGGAGAAGGAGACCTCCTCCTGAACGGGAAGAAGAGTGTGGGGGCAGGGGCAGGGCACGAGTGGGCATCATGCCCTGGTGTCGCCCAGGATGGCCTGCTGTGAGGGGCGCGGCATTGGCGCTGGGGCGCCAGAACTCAGGAGGCGGTCATCTGGGCGGCTGGGCGTCGAGATCCGTCACTGCTCTTGCGCGATAGTGGAGTGTTAGACTGCTCGTCGGTCGTCTGGTGGGGGTTCTGTAGTTTGCAGTAGGTGTTCCCTTCCGAGCAAGCACCGTGCAGAAACCATCCTTCAGAAGAGTGCAACCCTGCCTTTCCAGCGACCCCACCAAGGCTCCAATCTGCCCCCATGAGGCGAACATTTGCCACAAGAGGCGTGCGAGCCACGTGGAGGCTAAACAAATGACGCACATACGCGGATTTGAACTGTTTGCCTCTAATACTTTCCAGCTTCAGATCGGTGCGGGAAAGCTTCCGAAAGTCCCAACGCGCGCTCAAGATGGCCCCAAGAGCGCCTCAATACAGTGCCGAGGCTCCCGGATGATCCCTCCAGGCGGCACGAGAGGCTCCAAGACGGCACGGCGTATTCCACGAGTGCTGATAAAGAGCAGGCTTCAAATATTCAGGAGACCCCTGATAATAACCACCAATCCCATTCTTCCCACTTCCCCTTCCCGCTCCTCCCTCGTGGGGGGTACAGCAGGGGGGGAGCGACATCTGGCTCACTGTCGTAGCGCGGGTCTCCTGCAGTCAAGGTTCCAGTCATTTTAGCGACGAGCACGACGCACAAAAAACTTCGACCTGGTCTCGCCGCCACGCAACGCCTCCGCAGGGTGGCGTGGCTCGGCGGCGAGCCAGGGGGGGGAACAGAGAAGAGGCGGGCCTTCTCAGAAGGCTCGGAAGGCCTCCGGCCTTCTGAGAAGAGTTCTAAGCCTCCTCCGAGTGCACCAGCAACTTCTCAGAAGCCCCGCGGGCTTCCGAGAAGCCCCGCCGCCTTCTGAGAATGCATGCCCCCTTCTCACTTCTGCCCCAGGCGCGCCGCCGAGTTGCTGCACCCTCTGGCAGCGAGCAGAATTCAAGGCATGCAGGTCAATTAAGCGATAAAAACTGCAACTGAACGGCCGCAGAGCCCGGGGCACGCGCCTGTGGCGCGGGCAGCGGGGTCTGCTGGCTCATGGAGGAACGCATGGGCATTTGCTTTGCAACCTGCTGGCCACTGGCGGCGCCTCCATCTCTTGGCGATGGGCCTGGCCGGTGGAGCAGGAAGCCCACCCAGCGCGAAACCTCGCACCGGGTGTTCGTGTAATGTATCTAATTCGGACAGGCATGCACCTCTTAAACTTCCACGCAAGCATGTACTTCCAAGCTCCTGCCCTTCGTGCACTGCGGTGCAATACCGGCCACTGCACTCACTGCTTGCCTGCTCACTCTTTCGCTACCCCTTTGCGTTGCTGACGCGCGGACGCTGCGTTCTTCGTTTAGCGAGTTTCGGGGCAGTCACTTAGCGCACCTCATGAATCAGTATCGGCTCGCGTCGTTCCTCCCAGACGCTGCGCAACAGGGAGCACACAACACATTGCGCGCTTGTGCATAACAAAACCTTGCGAGAGAGCCAGACGAAGACACATCTGCCGAATATGTCCATTCACAGCCGTGGGACAATAATCACAGAGACGCGCGTCTCACGCCGCGCGGACCAATGTGGGCCGCCCAACCTCCCTGGTCATCTCGAAGTGATCTCCCTGATCTCCTCTCCCCAATCCCTCAAGGAAGGATTGACCCATTGCCCGGGATCCCAGCAACAAATTGCGAGCGAGCGGAACCAAAACACATCGGCCGAAACCGTCCATAGACAACCGTTGGAAAACAGATGAGAAACACATGCGTCACAACCCGTGCGGACCAAGGTGGACAGCCCAACCTCCCGGGCAAGTTTGCCAGGACCCTCTGGGAAAGAGGAGGTTCAACAATTGCTACCGGCCCTCCGGGCCGCCCATCACCTGGAGGGAGCTCCCTGACCTTCTCTCCCTAATCCCGTAGGGAGGGATTGGCCCCTTTACCCGGATCCCGGCAAAATTTTGCGAGCGAGCGGAACCATAAAACATCTGCCGACACCGCCCATGGATAACCGCGGGAAGACGGGCAGAGCGACGGGGGACGCGTTGAAGGGGGGATAGAGGGAGAGCGCGAGGGACAGGCCTCTTGGGGCCATCGCAGGGCCCTCATGGAATCCATGTTGGAGATCCCCTGGGAAGGGGAGGTTCATCAATTTCCGTTTTTGGGTCCCCGACGACCTGGAATGATCTCCCTGATTTCCTCTGCCCAGTCCCGTGGGGGATCACTGATCCTTGTCCCAGGATCCCAATTTGTGGGCCACTCCAACGGCCCCATGTCCCCAGCGAGGAGCCCACACCCCCGAGAGGTCCCCAAAACGTCGCAAGAGGCCGCTATAGAGAACGCCGAGGCAGGCCCAGAGATCCTGACGAGAGCTTCTCAGGAGTAGTGCAAACCTGCTTTATTTCTGCTGTTACTCTTTAGCCCGCTCCTCCACGTGAACGTCCCCTCGCAATCTTCTTCGATTGTCGATCACATCGGGCCAGACCATATCAAATCATGCCATACCACATATAAACCCTGCCATGTTCGGAATATATACGTAGCACCCCGCAGATGCGGATAAGAGTGAGGGGGCGGTGGGGACGTCGGCAGGTTGCGAGACTCTGGATGAGCCCGCCGCAGGCGCCAAAGTTTCACAAATTATACAACGAGCCCGCCGTATGCGCCGATTTGTTCGTTAAACCAATGTGGGTAAGTCGCGGGTGGGTTGCAAATAAGTCGCGGGTGGGTCGCGGGTGAGTCGCTGTTGTGTTGAGGGTGCGAAGCCGTTCACTAAACGCACACAAGGAATGAATCGAACAGGGCAGGGCTGCTTAGTAAACGCCCAAGGCCGTTTGGTAAACGTCAATTCGTCGGGTCTGGGTGGTTTCTCCTCCCTTGAGGGTGGGTCGCGGGGTTGGTCGCCGGAGGGTCGCGGATGGGCCGCGAATGGGTCGCGGGGTGGGTCGCGGGAGGGTCGCGGGTGGGTCGCGGGTGGGTCGCGGGTGGGTCGCCGGGTGGGCCGCGGGTTGGGTCGCGGGGGGGTCGCGGGGTTGGTCGCGGGTTGGGTCGCGGAGTGGGTCGCGGGGTGGGTCGCGGGGTGGGTCGACGACAACAACAAGAAACAACAACAACAACAGCAACAACAACAACAACACCATCATCAACAACAACAACAACAACACAACCAACAACAACAACAA